CCCCAAAACCCCAAAACCCCAAAACCCCGCTAACTTTAAAATTCCTAAGAAATTGAATTAAGAAATCAAATCATTTGTTTAGAAGTGAAAAATATTTCAGAATAGATTTTAGAGATATTTCTAGCATAAACTTTCCATCATGCTTGTGGGCTTAGGTAATTCATTTCAGGTCACTTTGGTAGCGATTTTTAGATACTTGAGTTGATCTAATAAGTTTGTTCTAAATATTCACATTTGCTGTAAAATTTTAGATTCTTCTTGCCATCAAGGAATTATTTGCTACTCTAGGCTAATTGTTTAATTCTATTAAAGACATGCACATATTTTCTTTTTATCTTTGAGGATTTATACTAACTGCCTATGGCCTAAGAATGTTTTACTACTTCTTAGCTAGCATTTGCTTAAGAAGAGTTTGATTAGCAAACAACCTCTAGCCATTAAATTTAGGTGATAAAGATTGTCTCTAAGAAATCGATTACTGATGAGAGATGGGCTGAAGACTGGTAAGTCTTGTGTCACTATGCCTAGTTGGCTCATTTATTGAGTAATGCTTTTAATGGAAATTATTCATCTTTAGTGGGAACTACTTTTATTAGAAATTCATCTGTATCTATTAAACTTAGTTCTATGCATTTTAAATGTAAGTAGTCAGTCTGCTATCTTTTAAGGCTGGAGTAAACAAATTTTGCTTTGAATCAGTTTCAAATTTAGTAAGCATTTTATTACTTCCTGTGATGGCACTCATATTTTTAGATTAAGTATTTATTTACTCGGAGAAATCAAAGGCAGGGGTTGAAAGCCCTCGAGCACTTTGCAAATGCTACTGTTGAGAATCATGATTACTATTAATGAATAAGACCTTGTTCTTTCGAACACTTTCATAAGAACTTCTAACTTATTGTTGTCTTGAATTCTATAATTGAGTGCTTATTTATGATGAAATCTGCTCTTACTATGCTGCTCTGAACTTAAGGTCTTCTTTAATCCAGTTCTACTTAAGAGCTCTTGTAGTTAAGGAATCTGATGGGCGTTGGGAAGCCAATGACTAATCTAGCTACAATTACTATTCTAAGTTTGACTATTAGATCTACCTTATCTACTATTCCTTATTTATGTTAACAAGGCTATCAATTAGAGACAACTAATTCTTTTTAAACTACTCTGTCTGATCCTTTAGTTCTTTTAATTTTTCATCCCTAGTTTTCATCTTTGGAGTATTTACCTCAGTTTGAGCTTTTTATGCAACATTAAGTGAGATGATTACATCATTCTTGAGACAGATATTTTTCTTAATCTGAGATATTTTTTGAGAAGCATTGATTTGCAATTATTTCCAAGCAGATTATTAATTTTCAAGTCTAAGGAAGTCTTCACGTTTCATTGCTCCCACTAACCCTGTTAATGATGTGCAGATTACACTAGTTTAATAAAACTCACTTTGCTAGATTAAATCCTCATCACCTATCAGATTACCCTTTTCTAGTCTGTATAGCTATTAATGTAGTTAGATAAGATAGATACTCTTACATAAATTTTGTGGCATTTCATGGCTTTAGAAGTAATAAGTCCCTTGGTGTTATTGACTTTCATTGACCTAAGCGGATTTTCTAGAATTTATTTAGCATTTTCCTAATAATTTTCTCTTATTTTTTCCTTGCGTGTAACTTCAAACTGACCGTCTTTTACAATATAAACATAATCTGCTGGCTCTCCCTCTCTGTAAAGTACTTAATTCTTTATAGTCTTAATATCTGTGAACTAGTAGGTCAGCTTTCCTAGCGAAGTTTTTGTAAGTTAGTTGAAGTAGGGCAAACTTCGTAAGAATTGTATTTTCTCATTATATTTCTTTCTTTCGATTATGCCAAGAACTTTGATGTAATCAACTTTTGATATAACTGCGAAATGAGTATTTTAAACACATCTTATTGAAGCCATTCTGGGCTTTTACTCTATTAATGCTAATTCCCCAAAGCAAGAACCACTTTAAAGCTGAGAAATTTCTATATTCTTTGTCATGAATTCTTCCAATTCCTTCTCCTTTTATTATTGGTCTTCATTATAATAAGGGCTAAACAACGATTTTATTTGATGGCTAGATACAGTACTCCCTCTATATTTTTATTAGGGCTTTTTTAGTTCAATTTCTCCAATAAATGATGGCAGTTCAAGAGGTGTTTAATGAGGCTTATCAATATTAGACATATGACTTCTAAATGAATCCTGAGAAGATACACTCTCATTAGGTTCTTCTTCAATTTTGAAATCTTCATTTAATGTGCCAGTCATTTGACTTGCTTGTGATAAATTACTCCCTCTTTACTTTTTCAGCATGCTTGAAAAGTTCTAAGAATTATTTCTCTTATTATCATCTATATTTAGATTTTCATCTACTTCATTAATCTGTGCAGGATGCAGTGTTTTTGATGTGTATAACTAATTAATCTTAAACTTATTAATTTCTACTGAATGTAGCTTTTATTAGTTTTCGTTATTACCGGCTAGGTTTTTCTTATTTTTGAAAAGAGAAAAATTAGTCTTCGGAACTCTAAAACTTCCACTATACTTCTATATTTTCTTATTACCCTTGCTATTATGGATAAGTACTGCTACTTTTCCTTTAAGTATGATATAAAATTTATCCCCGTAGTCACCTTATTTGAAGACGAAACTACCTGATTCAATTTGCTCATATTTTAGTTCGAGGCATAGATCAATCAAATGATGATCTTAAATTTCTCTCTCTTTAAAAAACTTTATTTCTCTCAGCATTGGTGCGAGTACTGATAAATCTTTGTCGTTTCTGAATTCCGGATTCTTCTTGAGAATTTAGATTATCATCTAACAGAATAAATTACATACAATACTGAGCATTGCTTACCTATAGTTACGGATCATTGCCATGAGTAGTTGTGGCCGGAGTGGGTATCTCTGAAAGAAGTCTTTTCGAGGAATTGTCTTTTCTCTGAGCCTGTATTGGTCCACTTTAGATATTGCTATCTGATTACTGTGCATTTGAGTCAAGTAAATTTTTATTCGAAAATTCATCTTTTACTATCAAGGAGATAGCTTTTCACTGAATAGGTGAGTTTTCCATTATGTTTATTGAGTATTATCGTTCATGAACTGTCTCGACATCGCTAATTTTTATTTAATATAGTTCTGTTTAGACATTTCTAAGGGATTCCTCTGACAAGTTAGTTTCATTCTATTAGTCTGACATTAGATCTACACAACTGCTTTATTATTAATTCTTTCAATCCTAATAATTTTATTTTAACCTTCTTATCAATATTTTAGATCAAAGTTTAACGGGGTTTTGGGGTTTTGGGGAGATCGGAAGAGCGTCGT